CTATGGTGTAGGGGCCAAGTGAGAATTTATTTTTTGTCCTTTGGTTACTAATCCAAGTCATTTAAAGTTCGACACTGGTGGCCAGATTGAAGAAAATTTAGTCTAACTTGGCCTTGTATGGGTTCGGTAAATTTTCTTGGTTTTCAGAAACCAAGAAAAGTTTTCAACCGTAAACCCAAGATCTAGAGGACAAGTGACAATTTCTCTCTACTCATTTGGATTAAGAATCCATATGATGCATACCTTGACACTAATGGCCAATGTGACTTTTTTTTCTAATTTGGTCACATTTGGGTTAAATAACTTTTCTTGGTTTCCAAAAACCGAGAAAGGTTCTGAGCCCTAAACCCTAAGGTGTAGGGGCCAAGTGATACTTTCTTTCTTTGTGCTTGGGTTACTAATTCAGGTCATATAAACTTTGATACCGGTAGCTAGATTGATGAAAAATTAGTCTAACTTTGCCTCATATTGGTTTCGTAAATTTTCGTGGTTTTCAAAAACCGAGAAATGTTCTCAGCCCTAAACCCAAGATCTAGGGGACAAGTGACAATTTCTCTCTACTCATTTGGATTAATAATGCTTACAATTTATACTTTGACAGTAATGGCCAATGTGACAATTTTTTTCTAATATTACCACATTTGGATTCAATAACTTTTCTTGGTTTTAAAAACCAAGAAATGTTCTAAACCCTAAATCCAAAGATGTAGGGGCCAAGTGAGAGTTTCTTTCTTTGTGCTTTGGTTACTAATCCGAGTAATGTAAACTTTGACACTAGTGGGCAGATTGATAAAAAATTAGTCTAACTTGGCCTCATTTGGGTTCGATAAATTTTCTTAGTTTTCAGAAACCAAGAAAAGTTCTTAGCCCTAAACTAAAGATCTCAGGGACAAATGATAATTTATCTCTACTCATTTGGGTCAATAATCCATATGATGCATACCTTAACACTAATGGCCAAGGAGACAATTTTTTTTTCTAATATGGCCACATTTTGGTTCAGAAACTTATCTTGGTTTTCAAAAACCAAGAAAGGTTCTGAACCCTAAATCAAATGATGTAGGGGCCAAGTGAGAGTTTCTTTCTCTGTGCTTTGGTTACTAATCCGAGTCATGTAAACTTTGACACTGGTGGCTAGATTGATGAAAAATTAGTTTAACTTGGCCTCATATGTGTTCAATAATTTTTCTTGGTTTTTAGAAACCAATAAAGGTTCTCAGCCTTAAACCCATGATCTAGGGGACAAGTGAAAATTTCTCTCTACTCATTTGGGTTAAAAATCCATATGATGCATACCTTGACACTAATGGCCAAGGTGACAAATTTTTTTTTTCTATTTAGTGACATTTGGGTTCAGTAACGTTTCTTGGTTTTCAAAAACCAAGAAAGGTTCTGAGCCCTCAATCCTAAGATGTAGGGGCGAAGTGAGAGTTTCTTTGTTTGTGCTTTGGTTACTAATGCGGGTCATTTAAACTTCGAAACCGGTGGCCAGATTGGTGAAAAATTACTCTAATTTGGCCTCAAATGGGTTTCGTAAATTTTCTTGGTTTTTAGGAACTGATAAAAGTTCTCATCCCTAAACCAAAGATCTAGGGGACAAGTGACAATTTATCTCTACTCATTTAGGTTAATAATATTTATAATGAATACCTTGTCACTAATGGCCAAGGAAACAATTTTTTTTCTAATATGACCACATTTGGGTTCAGTACATTTTCTTAGTTTTCAAAACCCAAGAAAGGTTTTGAACCCTAAATCCAAACATGTAAGGGTTAGGTGAGAGTTTCTTTCTTTGTGCTTTGGTTACTAATCTTAGTTATGTAAACTTTGGCACCAGTGGCCAAATTGATGAAAAATTAGTCTAACTTTGCCTCGTATGGGTGCGGTAAATTTTTTTCGTTTTAGAAAAAAAAAAGAAAAGTTCTCAGCCCTAAACCCAAGATCTAGGGGACACGTGACAATTTCTCTCTACTCATTTGAGTTAATAATGCATATGATGCATACCTTGACACTAATGAACAAGGTGATAATTTTTTTTCTAATATGGCTACATTTGGGTTCAGTAACTTTTCTAGGTTTTCAAAAACCAAGAAAGGTTCTGAGCTCTAAATCCTAAGATGTAAGGTCAATTGAGAGTTTCTTTCTTTGTTCTTTGGTTACTAATCCGAATCATTTAAACTTCAACACCGGTGCCAGATTGATAAAAAATTACTCAATTTTGGCCTCATATGAGTTTCGTAAATTTTCTAGGTTTTCAGAAACCGAGAAATGTTCTTAGCCCTAACCATAAGATTTAGGGGATGAGTGATAATTTCTCTCTACTCATTTGGGTAACTAATCCATATGATGAACACTTTGACACTAATGGTCAATGTGACAATATATTCTTTTTCTAATTTGGCAACATTTGGGTTCAGTGACTTTTCTTGGTTTTTAGAAACCGAGAAAGGTTCTGAACCCTAAATCCTAATTTGTAGGGGCCAGGTGACAGTTTCTTTCTTTGTGCTCAGGTTAGTAATCCGGATGATGTAAACTTAGACACTGGTGGTCAGATTGATGAAAAATTAGTCTAATTTAGCCAAATGTGGGTTCCATAAATTTTCTTGGTTTGTCATATATGAGAATGGTTATCAGCCCTAATCATAGGATCTAGGAGACATGTGACAATTTCTCTCTGCTTATTTGGGTCAATAATTCATATGATGCATACCTTCACACTAATGGCCAAGGTGACAATTTTTCTTTCTAATGTGGCCACATATGGGTTTAACAACTTTTTTTGGTTTTCAAAAATCGAGAAATGTTCTGAACCCTAAATCCTAAGATGTAGGGGACAAGTTTCTTTCTTTGTGCTTGGGACTTTAATCCATCCACAAGTGTTAAGAGCTGAGAAACAATCTGCCCTTCCACTTCTCCATTTGTTTTCTCTCATTTAGGAGCTATGGAATAAATTTCATGAATAAAGATAATAGAGGGTGCATTCTTTTCAGCTCCTTCAAATGCCTTTCTGATATTACTTTCACTTTCTCTAGCTAATTTTGACATAATTTCTGGTCCATTAATATTGAAGAAGAAAGCATCAGTTTCAGAGGAAGTTCCACTAGTTCTCATTTTTGAGCCATTTGCTTTCTGACTCCACTAACATCATCATAACCTACTTCATCTAACCCATTTTCATCCTTCCTCCTTACTAACTCTCCCTCACAAAAGATGTCAGTGTTTGGAGCAACCACACAATAATCTGCTGGGTCCGTCTCAATAACCTTAAATCCAATACTCCTCATTCCACCTCTAACAAGGAAGAGATTCCATTTCCTAACTGGATGATATGCTTCCAAGAAATAATCTACAGATGCAACCCCTCAAATCAAAAGAGAAAATAAATTTCTTGTTCAATTTGAAGAGCCAAGTAAACTAGAAAAATCCTTTCCTTTTCTTTCTGATAAAGGATAGGAACATTATGTTTATGGTTGTTGTCAAGAGAGACGTGAAGACAGACTAAGCACTAAAATGGTTTTGAAGAGAAGGTTTCCAAATATCATTTAACTACTAAATGAAAGTTACCACACCATGAAAACTGTTAAATCCTAATCACAGACATTAAGTGGGCAACTTGAAAACCGAATTGAATTATATTTTTGGATTGTCCAACACTTTATTTCACATAGCAATATTAGTCATATGACTGCTTTATAAAAGTCTAATTGGTAACCTGCTAGTAATACAACATACAGTCTTAATTATACTAATTTTAGATGCTATCTATCAACAATCCGATCTTTAAGTCACTTTTTCAACAAATAGGAGCATTGCATGTAGTACTTAGTACTTTTTCAACAAATAGTGCATAAATAATCTGGTTCAGGTGTAAAGCCTTCGTTACATATCCAAGGACATATGATCTCATTCTTGCATATGGTGTTTTCAGCTTATACAATGACAAGATTTTAGATTAGTGAACTTAGGACTCTCCCAATCTCATTTGGATAATGTTTCTAGACTATAAGAAAAGGAATCCAGAAAAGAAAGACAAAAAGAGTTACGGAAGCACAAAAGACCCTCTATCGGCGACATTGAAATGGAAACGCAGTTTCTTAGTTGAAAGCAAGACAAAACCCTCCATAGGTAACTTTTCTTGGTTTTGGAATGGAAAAACCATAGCCATTGAAAGCAAGGCAAAGAAACCCAAAAAAGTAGCAAAGAGAGGGAGCAAAAGAATTTGATAAAAAGGAATGTGTAGACCTTCCCTTGAACGAGCTCCAAAATGTGAAATCTGAATTGTGCAGGCCGAAGAATCCATCGCCAAGCTCCAAAATGTGAAATGTGAATTGTAAAGCAGATTCAAAAACTCCCAAGCTAAAGCTTCTCTGTAATTGAGTGATTACAGAGAAGGAGAGAAAAGATTGGAGATTCGAAAAAAGCAAAAGAGAGACTTGAGGGATTAGAGAGGAGAGAAGAGAGAGAGAAAAAAACATTCGCACGCAGGAGGGAAAGAGGATCAGAAGATTTTGTTCAGAATTAATAAATGGGCAATTTTGTCATGAAAAAAGGAGATATGAATTGTATCTCATACGATGCTCTCCTTTCGTATATAGCTGCTCTTTTTTGATATTTTTTTCAAAAAAGTTGCCCTCTTTTAGTTATTATATGAAATATGCTTTCTTAATTGATATTAAGGCCGAAAAGCTACCCTTAACTAGAATCCCAACAAAATATATAAATACGGAGATATTCCCAATACAAAGCTATAAAGACTTGTTCCAACGAGCCTTGCGCCAAGTTCATTCAGAGAGATATTCCCTGTACGCGGATGATACCCGTTGTGAGGTTGGTGAGAAGATCGCTCGAGCAGGTAAGGACTCTCCTCAAAAAAGGGTAACTGGTGTGATTTTAAAAGGACCTTTTTAGGTTTAGGTTTTTCGCAATTTCGCTTTCCTGAAAGGTCCTGAAAGCGAAAATCGTGTACACACCCTGAGAACACAACATTCAGCCGCACATGGTGAATACCTCTCGTCGTTTATACGAAGAGATATTCCTTATGCACGGATCGATGCTTTCAGAGTGTGTGCACAATTTTTGCTTTCAGAATACCCCCGTCTCGCCTGAAGATTCACGTTGTTTGGAGTTTGGACTTATTGATAACCCCTCAAACCCGAATCCTCAAACTCAAACCCTGCAATCTGGTTGTGGCGGACTTCGATCCCACGTCTTTCCGTCTTTGCAAAAACCACCCGGAGACTTTACCAGCATGCCACCTGGCGCCTTCAAATGACTCATACCAAGCAGTTTTTCTTCTTCTCCATTTTTTGCTAGCAGAATTTTACTGTAGTGGAGAGTGGAGAGCGTAGAGAGCGCCGTGTGTTCATGGCGGCAGAGAATAGCTGAAATCGACACAATAAAATATTAGCTTTTGTTAACCTAATTCATTCCTCCCGTTTCGTTGCTACAGGAGCTTTATATGAATGTCTGCTCCGCACCGGATTTTCTGCGTTTTCGCACTCAGTGTATCATCATCGGCACCTAAGCCCAAGAGTTTTCTTCCATTTAATTGTTATTCTTTACATTCTTTTTCAGCTCGTTTTGCAGTAGCTGAGGCGCTCAGATTTTCTAGCTCTGTCTCTGACTCATCCATGCCGAATCGCCGGGTACGACGTTCAATCTCTTACGAGTTTCGGCTAACTTACGTTTTATTCGAACGGTTATCTACAGAATGTCTAACTACCCTCCTAGCTGAATCGTTCGATTTTTTTATTATTTTTTAATGATTTTACGAATATGGAGCTCTATCATTTGGCAATTGGCATTGGCGTGGCTTGTTTCATCATCTAAAGCTGATGATAGTGATAATCTTATTCTGTTTATAAGGCCTCTTACGCACTATTTGTTGTATTCGTGACAATTCTATTGTTTTCGTTGAACTTTACGCGTTTGATCTTTCAAACATGATAAGTTGTATACTTGTATTTACTGTCTATCTGAATGCTGGACTTTAATCCTCTTCAACCTTCTCTTGGGTTGATTGTCTTTGTGGCTCGAAATGCAAAGGCCAAAATTAGACGTTTGAAATAAAGTATTTAAGACACTTATGAAAAAAAAGTTTTTAAGACACGTGCTCGCCTTTGTACTATCTGTTGCTTAATGCGGACTAAGAACTTCAGAACGTGGTGGTAATTTATATGATTAGTTGTTAGTTGATTGAAGGAGTAAAACTGTGCTTTAACCTTTACATGCGTACATAATTCTTTGCTAATGTTGCTGAACTCCCTTACATCTTAATGCAGGGAAAAGCAGGAATAAGAGAACAGAAGTGGAAAGAGAATCCAAAATATGATAGACCATCTTTGTCCACGGAGAGTACACCTATGATTACTGAAGCTATTGCAGATAATCTGATTGGGTTGAATATAAATGAAAATGGTGGACAAGACTCTCTTTCATTCTCACCTATAAAATTTGAAAGTGCTCAAATGGCGAGCCATGTATCTGTCAAAGGTCAGACAGCTATTTGGAAGCCAAGATCATATGGGACGATGAGTGGAGCTACAGCTGTTGAAGTTAAAACTGTAGCTCCTGATCAAACTTCGGTTGCAGTTGACATCAAGGCAAATGATGTTGAAACCGCGGCAAGCAGCAAAGGTAGCTCTGGGTTGAGTAAGTTATTGAAAGGTCCCCTGGGAGCAAATTTTTCTGTGGACAACTTCACGTACTCTTTGGCACAAATTAGGGCAACCTTTTATCCAAAATTTGAGAATGAGAAGTCAGACCAAGAGGTATTAATCTTCCTTTCCCATTGTTCTTGGATATATGGCATTATGGATCCAAATTTTCACATTTCCACCAAAGATGAACAATTATCTCTCCTCAATATTGTTCATAGCATAAAATGTTGATAGTTTTAATTGATTCTTAAGTCATAAAATGTTGATAGTTTTAATTCCAAGACTGATAATTTGAATTGTCAAGAAAGGGTAAAGGGGCAAGTTTGATCTGGGGCATTTTAATCTTTTTAAGCAGAGTTACAATAGGTATTTGAGGTTTTAGTAGCTAAATCCTTTAATGAAGTTTGTTGAGTTAAAGGTCAAATCTAGAAAGTGGGGTTTTAGATGGTAGAGAATAAATAAGTTTTGTAGTCAATATTCATTTGTGTGTCTTCTCTTAAATCCAAGTTCTTTCTCAATACACACATACACACACACACACACACTATTCTACTTAGCTCTGCTGTTATTTATTTATTTTTGGCAAGATCAAGTTCACTGCTGTCCTACTTATGGATTTTGGATATATATGGTTATTCCTGGTGTCAGTATAGGTGCTGTTGCAACCATTCCAGTTTTTCGAATAAGAATACAACATAAATTTGCTAGTAGCTGTAGTCACTATGCCATTGAGTAAAAAATTATTGGGCAACATGATACCAACACGATAATTCTACTTTTTCAACTTTTTTCCATTATTGATAGACCACTTCCTTAAGAATTATGTTGCCCAATAATTTTGACCATAATATCTCATATTGTTGGGTGTGTATTGCCATAATATCCTACCTTAGTGATTACCAATTGAAATTTATGCTTATAAAAAATCAATTGAAACTTACATGTTTCTATTTTGATAATATTGGGAAATCCTTGGGCATTCTTGTGATTTCTGACCTTTTACAAGGTTAATTTTCAGATGATAAAATCATCTATAGTTTTGTTCATTTTGTTTTAACTGATAGTATAACTGATTTTCTTAGCATTATTGTTGCTGGGAGTATTGGTAATTGGTTATTTTATTTTGTACTTCCAGGTTAGAACAAGAATGATTGAGATGGTCTCTTGTGGCCTGGCTACATTAGAGGTAGGGATACTCATGCCTTTCTTTTGCTTATTAATGTTAGGAGAATTGGTAGTTGGTTATTTTTATACTCATGTCTCTCCATTGCTTCACAGAAAGCATTATATTCGTTCTCTTTTCCAATTTGTAATTGACCTCAATTTCACAATTTAATAGAAGACATGAACCTTTATAATATGGGATTTGTGTTCCTAATCCATAAATAGTTTTGATGAGACTTTTAGTTGAGTCAATGGGCAGTCTCCTTTATTTTTGACAATAAACAAAAAAAAAAATCATTGAAGGGAAAAATACCAAAGTAATAAAACCAAGTTTGATGAGATGGTAAATGGCCATGGTCATGCAGTCAGATCAGAGCTTCTTGCAGTCCTACAAGGATTAAAGTTGGCAAAAAGTAATAACTACACTAATATCATTGTTGAAAGGGACTCAAACATGGGCCAAATCCAACAGGCGTATTCCTTAGTCCCTTCAGTATGTGCTAAGGGAAGTGGAAAAGATTGCAAAAGAAATAGTGACTGAATTTAAGTGGCTTAGAAGGTGTGCAAATGGTTTAGCTGACTCCCTAGCTAAAGAAGGGGTTATGAGGCAACAATTGTTTTGGGCGTCCTTGTAATTTGGGTTTGCAAGTAGGGATTGACACTCTGGTCAAACAAGTTGTATTAATCATTCCTACATTCCAAATATTATAATAAAATCATTTTTTTGCTAATAAAAAAAGGGGGCTCAAAATTGATGAGGGATTTCTTATGGGAGCCTGGTGAGGAGAAGAGGGATCATAGAGTTAGATGGAAAGTAGTAAGTAGAAGTAAGGAGTGTGGGGTCTAGGGTTAGGAAATCTGTAGAAGAAAAATGGGGCTTTATTGGGTAAGTGGTTTTGGAGATTACCTGAGGATAGGGACAAATTGTGGGTGAGTATTCACGGGCTTGTAGTGGATGGTTGGGATGTTGGAGTACTGACTAGGGCCACAAGAGCTTCTCCTTGGAAGGCCATCCATGCTATTCTACCTTCCTTCTAAGTTCCTCCCATATATCAGGTATGATTTGTGCTCTGGTAATTTGGTAAGGTTTTGGGAACATATTTGGGTGGGGGATCTTGCTTTGAAAGATCAGTTTCCTTCTTTGTTTTCCCTCTCAAGATACAAAGATGAGCATGTATCCACTTTTTTTGTTCCTTCTAGTTCCAAACACTGGCTTTGATTGGGAATTGGGCTTAATAAGAGGTATAAGGGTCTTGGAACTAAACAGTGTCATGGCTTTTCTTCACATACTTGAAGGGGTTTTCCTGGATCCTTCCAAACCTGATAGTCAAATTTGGACTGAATCCCCCTTTGGTACATTCTCGTGCTTCTTTCTTCAAGGTTCCAACTCAGCCCTTTGATAGCTTGGGGCAATTTTTCCCTGTTATAGAGGTTTGGGTAGACCTATCCCTCCCAAAATTGGAGGTTTCTGTTGGGAAGTGTTCTAGAGAGAATAAATACTTGTGATTTGCTCCAAAAGAAAAAGAACCAATTGGTACTTATCCCTGCATTGGTGTGTTCTTTGTAAAACTAATGGAGATGTAGGTGGAGCCCCCATTCCATTTGGGAGTGGTTCTTTTGGGTGTAGGTGGAACCCCCCGCCAAATATGCAAAGTTTGTTTACCTCTACATTTTTTAGTTGGACAAAGAAGAGGGGAAGGTTGTTGTAGAGATGTTTAAGAGCTCCCTTGAGTTGGACCATTTGGGAGGAAAGGAACTCAATGATTTTCTTGGACAAGGAAAGGAGTAGAGAGGCTATTATTGAGACAATCACTGCTAGGGTGGTTCAATGGATTAAATCTATGGAGTCATTTGCTGACTTTTTTTTTTTGGATCAGAAAATAAGACTTTTATTAAGATCAAAGATATATTGAATTACAAGAGTTTGGTTTCAGCACTGCAATGACCCAAGCTACAAACACATACTGTTATCTGTTGCTCCAATCTGCTCAGCCAGCTTTAATCCTTGTAGGAGAGCCAGAGATTCACCCTGAATTGAGTCAACAATACCTATTGGTTCTGAGAAAAGTGCTACAACTTCTCCTTGATGATTTCTAAGCACACCCCCTATACCTGCCCTTCCCGGGTTGCCAAAGGAACTCCCATCAAAGTTTAGTTTTAGTTTATTTAGTGCAGGTGGCTTCCAGTCCACTCTCACAATTTCTTTGGGTACATCTGTTTGTGCCACTTCAGTCCAGTACTTTAGAATGTCATTCGTGAAGAAGTTTTTGAATAGTTCCATGGTCATCATCCAATGTGCAGTTCTGATTTTTATGGCTTCAATGGTTTCCTCCACAGCCATTTCCCTAGGAGGGCTGTATTTTTCTTTAAGATGATCCCTATACCTAGGCTACCTTGCTCCTTAGGTTTGCAGACTTGTTCCCACTTCACTAAATGATCCCTCTTTTCATCACTGGGTTCCCACAAAAAATCCCTCATTATCCTTTCTAACTTCCTAACTATTTTCACCGGGATCCTAAAGGTGGAGAGGAAATAAGTGAGCAGATTTGCTAAGGTGGATTTTATCAAGGTTATTCTTGCCCCCAAGGAAATATAACTTCTCTTCCATATTGCCAACTTCTTAGTGAATCTCTCTAAAACTGGTTTCCAGAAGCTTTCAGATTTCAGGTTTCCCCCCAAGGGCATACCTAGGTATTCTAGAGGCCATCTTTTCACTTCATAGCCTAGTAAATCTGCAATATCTTGGATGTCACCCTCTTCTAAGTTTAATCCAGCTACATAACTTTTTCCCTAATTCACTTTTAGTTTTGAGGCCTGTTGAAACTAATCCACTAAAATTTTCAGGTTCCTCAAATTAGGTTCATCACAACTCTCATAGAAAATGATAGTATCATCTGCAAATTGCAGGTGAGACACCAGCACCTCTGATCTGCCAATCCTCCAACCTTTAAATTGATTTTCTTGGTCAGCTTTGATGATTTGTCTACTCAAAACCTTAGCAACAAAGGTAAACAAGAAGGGGGATAAGAGGTCACCTTGTCTCAGTCCTCTTTTGGCCGAGAAGAAGTCCTTTGCTACCCCATTTAAAAGGACGGAAAAATGTACTGAGCTAATACATCCTTTAATCCATAGTCTCCATCTTTCACCCAAACCCACCTTTTCCATGAGATTCAACAGGAAAGACCAATCCACCATATCATAGGCTTTCTCTAGGTCTAATTTACAAACAAGCCTTTGCCACCTTGTTTTTCTCTTCGCTGCCACACATTCATTTGCCACTAAGATTTGATCCACTATTTGTCTCCCTTCTACAAAAGCTCCTTGGTTATGAGAAATGACAAAGGGCTGACAGTCTTCAGTCGACCAACCAGAACTTTTGCACTGTCTTATACATAATACCCACAAGACTTATTGATCTATAATCCTTAGGGGTTTTGGTGTCGTTATTTTTAGGCATGTTGATGCTTGGAATGGCCGAGGTCAACACAATCAATTTACTCCCAAGCTGAGGTGCGAGGGGCCCAAGGCCAAGGTGGCCGAGGGTAGGTAGATCGATCCTATAAAGGGAGAGAACACGCCAAAGGCCCCGGGTTGAGATCCGAGGCGGAGACTCCGACGGTCAAGTTAGTATGTTGGTGCGGGGTGACCGAGGTCTGAGGTATGAGGGCTCAGATGAGGTCACAAGGGAAGATAAGAAATCTCAAGGAGAGCTCGAGAGTCTTAAGTTTTGGACCCTTTACCTTGGGGGTAAGCACCTCTTATTTATACTTGAGGCCGCTGGGTCATGGTAGAGCTCGGGCGGTCGAGATGGAGCCTGTAGGGGAGCGTGACCATCTAAGGCCGCTAGGTGACCATGCGCGATTGGTTTCGTGAGGCCCGCCTAGCTCAGCCCTGAGTGCGTTGTGATTGGTCCCGCGAGGCCCGCCGAGCTTGGCTCTGTGTGTGCCTTGATTAGTTCTGCCTTGAGCTGCGTTGACTGGCACGTGTAGGCTTGCCATTGGTCGAGCTGAATGCGCCTACATCATTTGCCCCCCACTCCTGAGGCCGTGGTGGAGGTCCAAACTGGGGGCCTTGGCTTTGGCCGAAGGGAGTGTGTTGGTAGCGTTGGGAGGCACCGTTGGGTCTCCTGACGAGGTGTCCTGCGGTGGCGCCGTCTTGGCTTCGCTCCCTTCTCTCGGGGAGTTGTGGAGGTTCCTTCTGTTGGGGGCTTCAGCCTCGGCCCCAAGACCGTCGCTGTGGGGGGACGAGGAGGAGGCCTTGCCCCCCTGCCCTGTGCTGGCGTGGAAGCGAATCCGTGGATGCCTCGACTTTGGCTACGAGTGCTTTCGGCGGGGCATTTGGGTGCTTGAGTAGGGGACTTGGCCGCATACGGGTGGAGCTTGTCCTATTTGGCCCGTGAACCATGGAGGAGACGGGACCCATGCAAGCTAGGTTGTATGTTGGTTGGACCGGTTTGGCTGGCCGGACCAGCAAGATATGGTGGGCTGACTGGTTGGTTCGCATGGCATCGCTTTGTCTTCCTGAGGTGAGTGACGCATGTCGTCCAGTGGGCGGGACCGCAGAGGTGGTCGTCGCATAGCCGTTGGATCAAGCACGATCTGGGCCGTTCATTTTTCTTTAAATAGGGGCCTTAGTCGCGCATTTCTTTGCCATTTGCTTTCGAGTACCCTTGCTCTCAAGAGACCTTTGCCTTCCAGAGCCCTCGGCTTGCTTGCCACTTTCTAGAGTTCCTTGCCTTCGTCCTCGCCTTAGGTAAACACCTCACCATGTCTTACTCCAACTCTGGCCCAGAATGCTATGAACTTCCAAATTCCTCATGGGTGAGCTCATTCCTAACCCCGTCCAGAATGCTATGAACAACTTTAAGAGCCCTCAAAAAAATTTACTGCCACACATGAAGCCAAAACATCCGCCTTGAAAAACAAATTTGTACTCAGCCACCCTCTAAGATAATCTATAATTAAATTTGTCACCTTTTTCTACCTGGAAGGCTGGAACTGCTTTTGTTAAAAAATCCTCCTG